CAATGTCCCCAAGCCTCACAGAGCAAGAGGAGGGGCTCCACCAGGGCACTCCATGGGCCCTACAGGGTATGGGGTCCAGGGCTGCATCTCAGCTCCCAGACACCCTCTCTGCACATCCAGCCCTGGACACAGGGCTCCAACTGGATCTTGTGGTCCTGCCCTCTCAGACCCCGGCTCTGGGCCTTGGGAGGCCCTGGTCCAGTGGAAGGGACCCTGGCTTGGACTCTGCGGAGGCCTCCCTAGCCTGGGACACAGCTATCAGGATGGCTGCACATTTCCTGCCAGGCTCACCAGAGGTAAGGGGCTAGAACAGTGAGCCCACAAGCTGAAAGAAAGCCCAGAGGCTGACAAGACTCTCCAGGGGCCAAGGGGCGTGGTGACCAGTCTGCCTCAGAACCCAGCAGCCAGCCTCTGTCTGCCTCACATTCCTGGAAAGTGCTGTCCTGTCTCCTCCTACCAGGACCCTCCTTTCCTCTCCTGACAGTGCTCATGGCCATGTCTCTAACAATCTCCATGTAGCCAAATCTAGGTCGGGGGTTGGCCTGAACCCTCCATGCATCTCACATTCACACCACCCTGGGATCTGTGGGTGCAGAATGCCCTCACCTTTTCCCTGTGTCCCTCCACAGCTTGAGTGCAGCCAGAGTGGCCTTGGGTGGACGCATGTGGAAACCCTTGTGACCTCAGCCAGCCTTGGGGCCAGGAAGGTAGGTGAAGCCAGCTGTTTCCCAACCACACAAGTAGAAAATCTGGAGTGGACAGAAACCACTGCACCCAACCAGGGACCACACAGGTGGCAGGTGGTGCTGCCATGAAGCTGACACACAGCCTCCAGCAGCCTTCACCCACCTTGATGACGCCCATTTGGGGACAAGAATGGGCCAAATGGCTGAAATAAAGTGACAAGACAAAGGACGCTGGAATGAATGTAACAGAAAGGGAGTGTTTCTGATAGACTTGAGTGCACAGATAGGATGTGCCGGTGGGTAAAGGTGTTGACTGCCCTGAACTAAGTTACAAATCAGTCCCAACAATGACATTTTTGTTCTCAAGCTAAACAAATTTAAACAAGTTCCTTCAAAAGTTTCAACAAGAATGGCCAGAAAAATACTAACAGGAAGGGATGGTGTGGCCGAGTCTGGCCGGAGCCCAGTCCTGCAAGGTGCAAGGATAGACGGGATGGGGAGACACACAGTGAGAGAGGAGTTGGGACGCCAGGGCCCCAGGAGTGTTGTGGGGCCCCAGGAGTGTTGTGGGGTGCCAGGACAGAAAGGATGGGGTGACGCCAGTGAGAAAGGACTCAGGACACCAGGGCCCCAGGAGTGTTGTGGGTGCAGACAGGATGGGGAGATGTCAGTGAGAGAGGACTCGGGACGCCAGGGCCCCGGGAGTGCTGCGGGGTGCTAGGGCAGACGGGATGGGGAGACACCAGTGAGAGAGGACTTGGACACCTGGGCCTGGGAGGCGACACATTGGACCCACCCATCCCACCACATACCAGGATAAACCCAACTGGGTCACTGACTTAAATGCAAATGAAAAAGAAATTAAAATACATAAGTGGTAGAAGAAAGCATGGGATAAATTCCTTTAAAAACTAGGTGTGGGAAAAAAAAGTTTCCTAACTACCAATAGAAATCCAGAAAGTCTAAGAATAGTAAATTTCATATTTAAAAAACAAAAGGAAAACTTGCATGTAACAAAATCAACAGTAGAGCTCCTGCCAGGAGAGAAAGACCAGGTAGTAGCCCCACAGAAAACACAGGTAAAATGTAGTGACCTGTCTCTCAGGGATAGCCAGTGCCCCTGAATGGTGACAGTATGAGCATCTCACACTGCTGACCAGGAGCACTGGCTCACGCCTGTAACCCCAGCACTCTGGGAGGCCAACGTAAGTGCATTGCTCGAGCTCAGGAGTCTGAGGTTGCTGTGAGCTGTGACACCACAGCCCCCTACCCAGAGTACCAGAGTGAGACTCTTGTCCTCAAAAAAAACAACCCAGAAATCCACATTGCTGGGTCAGGGAGGGCTTTGCCTAAAAGTGACAAGGCCATCTCTGCTCGAAGTCCCTCACCCAGGGACCTGCCCCCAGAGACAGATGGATATCAGACATCACAGCCACATTGTAAACAATGACCTGTTCAGGGATGGGACATGCACAAAGGCAAGGATGACATCCTGTAACTGTAACCTGAAGGGACATGTGCCTGTGCACACGGTTATTTGCCACTGACATCTACGCCAGGTCAGAGGAAGGAATGCCCCCTGTGGTGAGAGGACAAGCTGTGAGTGAGATCAGGAGAAGCAGGGTCTGGGCAAGTCCATGTTTTACGTTTTGACCCTGGATCATAAAATATATAATACAGAACAAAATAGAAAATTGAAAATGACAATACTTGAAAATCAAAACCAGTATGAAACAAATATACCGTGTTAGCAGATGCAAAGCTTAAACCCAGAGAAGATGACTTCAGAAGACAAGTGAAGAGGGATGGGGAGCCCATGTCCACAGCAAGAACTATAGGCGCTCCCCCAACCTGCACCACATACCCCTGCTCAGCACCCCTGCAGTTCCCCTCCTCATTCTCCCTACCCAGCTCAACACCCTCCACCTGCAGCTGCTGGGCCATCTTGGGCTCTGCCCCCACATCGGCATCCCCTGACCTGGAAGTGATGGGTGGACACCCCAGGGTCTTCCGCAGCCTGCTGATCCCTGTCTTATCCCTTGCTCCCCATTAGCACCCCCAGAGCACCCCCCAAACCAGCTGCCAGCACTGGAGGCCTGGTGTCAGGATCTGCCCTGAGGACGAACATGACCCACGACCATGGGTCCAAGAAGACAGAGCCAGACAAGGGGTCTGCGAGGGCCCCTCAGCCAGATGGCAGCAGGGCTGCCTGGCAAGCACTATTTTGCAACTTCTGAGTTGTCTCCTGTGGTGACTGGGACAGGACATGCATGGGGGATGCACCGCTGGCACAGGCTCTGGCAGCCGGGATGGAGACAGATGGCCACTGCAGGATCTAGGGCTGGCTGACCACAGAGGTATGGAAAGCAGGGGCCTCTGAGGTGTGGTTTAAAGCCACCAACACCTGCAGCCAGAGGGCAGGCCACATGGAATGTAGGGCCCGGGACAGTGAAAATAGCTGCTGTCTTGAGCCGTCCCCGCCAGGGCCTGAGGTTCCCCCAGACTGCATGGCCACCATGTGGCCTGCTGCTAGCCCAGGCTCCTCACAGTGGCCAGTGATAGGAGCCAAGGTCCAGCAGCAGCTGACAGAGTAGGTAGGGCTGCTGGTGAGTTTAGCCAAAAGGGGTGCTTGAGTTCTGGCCCAGGTGGGCAGCAGGTCCTGTAAGGGAGGCTGGTGCTGTGCGTCATCCACCATCTGCCTGGACCTCTGCAGGCAGCTCTCTGGAGACTACAGACTGTCCCCACCACCTCCGAAACCATAGGCATCTATTCAGCATCAGTCCCATGCTCATGGTCCCCATTCTAAGATTTCACCCCATTACACACTCATTTGCTTTTGCAGTTAATAAATATTCACTTCCATGTTTCCTGCAGCTCACTGTCATTCTATCTGGGGATGCATCTTACCAGTTCCAGAACATTCTTAGCCCTTGCCCCCTCCCCTGCTCATATTCTGAAACTCCAGCCTGACACACATCTTTCTCCACATTTCTTAATCCATAGCAGTTTCCTGCAGTTTTGCCTACCAGTTCATGACTTTTTTCAGCTGTGTCTAACCTGCTCCTCCACCTACTATGAATGTGCCCACGCCCCTTCTCAGTCCTGCTGGTCCCACTCCCTGCATGTGGTTGCACTCAATGTTCTCTCCAGCACTATATTGCATCTTGCTTTCAAAGCCCGTAAAAATCTGTGGCACGTTCACTAACAAGTTCTGGTGGTTCTGCTGCCCTAGGCTTCTGGGCGCTCCACTGTCCTAGCAAGGTGGTTTTCTGCACGGCCAGAGTCAAACACATCCTGCTGCTCCTTTCAACCTGGGATGACAGGACAGATCCCTCCCTAGAGGTTTCCTGGACCTTGTGGGAGAACTCTCTCCGAGGTGGGTTGTGGTGAGGGCCTGGGTCCCCAGTGTGTCAGCTTGAGGGGTCCTATTCTTGGGCCCAGACCACATTCACTAACCATGGTTGTGTAGGGCTCCAGCCTGGCCTCTGAAAAACCCGACACCCAGCACTGCAGCCCTCTGCACTCACTCCGTACACTCTGGCTGAGCCGCGCCATGGTTCTGGCTTGGTACCCGTCACTCCCCGATCCCCCATCTTGGTGTCTCATTTCTAGAGCTCAGCTCTGCATTTAAGGTGAGGACCTGTGCCTTTCCAGCATTGTCACATTTTGTTGTTTAAAATGTCCCTTGTTTCATGGCTTCGTGTCCAGTACCGACAAGCTCTACTTTAATTAGCTATTTGGGACAAAAAAAATCAACCCACAGAACTTACAGCTAAAAAGCGACTGTGAAACAGATGCAGAATTCATGGCTGGAAAGCGACTGTGGAACAGGCACACTTGGCAGAAACACTGTGCTAAACGCAGCTCAGCGGCCCCCCAGTGCCAGGTGGGCAGCACAGGACAGAGGCGGCTCTCACGCTAGTTTGCACTGTGGCTGCATGTGATTGGATGGCCACAGAGCTGGCACTCAGCGTGTCACCAACACGAGGCCATGCCCAGGCTGAGCAGGGTGCTTAGTGCCTCTGCTCCCAATGCACTGCATCCACCCCACTGCACCAGGACACTTTGCTTTTGACTTCCTGCTCCCCAGAAGTGGCCCATCGCACTCGGGACTCAGGTCCTAATGGGCTCTTGTGGAAAGAGGGACTCGCCCCACCCTAGCTCCCATGTTTTAGGTGAATGTTCTAAAGGCACCTGTTAGATTCTGCCTCCTCTCCCGCCTCTGGAGTTTACTGGCACAGCCTCTGACGAGCTCACTAGTGAGGGGCTCATGTCATCGGCTAAGTTAGAAAATACTCAGGAACAAAAACGCTGAACTTCCCCTTAAAGGACTTTATTTCTCTAATTTTATATGGATCATTTATTAAATTAGAAGGCTAAAAAGTAAAAATATACTTTACAATCAGGAAAAAATCTGGATGCTAGACCCCAAGAAAAAAATCAGAAACCCCAAGTTCTGAGTCACTCCTGCCAACACCGCAGAGCAGCATGGTTCAGCCAATGGAGGACGCAGCACCTCCAGGCACCGTGAGGACGACGTGGGAATGACTTTCCTCTACCACTTACTCCAATGTCACCAGCTGGCCCAGATGGACTGAAGCCAGTGGCTACTCAAACCCCAGGTGCACTTTGGGCTCAACTCCCACCAGCACCCACTGAGCAGCAGAAAGCAGAAATGGCTGGGCCAAATTGCTATCACTGGCCACTATCGTGAGGCCTGCTGACCACTGGGATCTTCAAGCCCAGGAGCAGGCCCGGCCCCTGGATACTAGGACTGTCTATGCTCAGGCCCCAGAGAGCTGTGGCCTCCCTAAGCGTGGTGGCCTTTGGCCCACACCAGACACGGCAGCGACAAGGCAAGACAGTGCTGCCCTAGAAGGGCCTACATGTGCCAGGAGCCCCTCCTCACTGTCCTCAGTGACCTCCAAACAGGAAAATGGAGCATAAAATGAGGGAAAAAATCATCTTATTTAACTAAGGGCCTTATAAATGTGACCCTTCTTTCATCTATTAAAAAAATAAACTGTTCGTGAAAAAGAAAGACAGGAGATGGCAGTAAGTGTGAATCACCTTAAACTGTCACTCTCCCTGGCAAGAGAAGAGGCCATGTGCCCTGGGACAGCATCATTAAGGCAGAAACTGCACTCCTGGCCATACCTGGGAACCAAGACACCAACACCCCTGGCAAGAGGAGGCCCAGAGGCATAGGCCTGAGTTCCATCCTGCGTCAGCCCCATTAACATCACTAACAAGTATCCCAACAGCATCCTGATGCATCCTACCCCCAGGAGGACATGTGCGTGTGGCACAGACCTGAGCATGAGGTGGAGGACCCAGTGACCCATTCTGTTGAAGCGAGTGGCTCAGGCTGCCGAGCAGAAGCTGCACCATCCTTGCTCCCACCAGACCAGCATCCTGGAGGACCCACTACCAGGGGGAGCACTGAGCAGCCCCCATACCCTCCTTCAGGATTACAGAAATAACTATTTATCAATATATGTTTGACAAAAAACTTCCCCAACAGGTTGCAGAAAGCCATGTCTTCTAGCTGACACTGAAATTTAACTAATTTTAGAGGGAAAAGGACTGACCCCTGGTACTAACTCCTCCTTCCACATCCTTCCTGTCCACAGGCTGGGACCAGACACTTGAAAGACCAGCAACTGTGATTTAATGCAAAACCATGGACATTACAGATGTGCGACAGGTATGCTCAATTATGTTATTTAAAGTGCATCACTCCTGAGAAACTTCCGAAGTCCCTGATTTCCACAACTAGGCATCCTCGATCTGTCCTACAACTCAGAATGTTCCACATGGTGACTGCCAGAGCAGAGCTGTGGGCACCTCCAGCCTGAACATTACATCTGCCAGACTTCCACTCCTCCCCAAACCCATCTGCAGCACAGGCGCCAGCAGAGCCCGGACCCTCTGAGCAGGCACAGGGCTACACCTGTGATCCCGCCCTCACCTGAGCTCTGCTACAGACTCTTGAGGAACAGCCGTGGCAGGACGTGCAGGCCACAGGCACAGGGCAGGGGGACAGGCAGGAGTGGATACCACATTGCTCCTTCCACATGCCGGGGTGGCCTCGCTGTGCCCTCACATGGGTGGCAGCAGGACAGTGATGCAGCAGGAGGCAAGAGACATCCCCGGCTCAGCTCATAAGGACCAGACAAAGGGTGGGCAAGCAGACAGGGCACTGGGGAAGGATGTGAGTTTCAGCTTGGCAGTTCCAAAAATAACCCACAAATCACTGTGAATGGATTCTGTGTGCCTTAAAATTAGTAAGTCTGTCCTAAGTCAAATAACTGATCTGAAGGGTGTCCAACAATCCCTGACAGCAGTCGCTTTCTACAAGAGTGTTTTCCAGAACAGCAAGAGGGAAGACACCAGCCCCACGCAACAGGGGAGTGAGCTCCAGCAACGGGCCCACCCCCCACACCAGACCAGGTGGGACTTGCCCTCCAGGACCAACAGAGAGCATGAAACCCACATGCGCCCCAAAGCAGGTGTGGACAGGGTGACACAGAGGTCCAAGGGCCATAGGGGCTTTTCACAGGAGTCTTGTTGGGACAGAGCTTCCTGGGAACCCACGGGTGGCAGGTCCAGGGGGCCGGGCAGTGCAGGGTGGGCCTACGAATCCTCACCCATCTGGAGCAGGGAGTTGATGGCAGCGTCCTTGTTCCCTCTCTGGGCTTCCAGCACAGAGCGGATAACCTCCCTGTCCATGTTGGGAAACATGTCCTGGATGGCTTTCAGATCTTCCTCGCTGCAGCGAGGCTGGGCACTCATGGCTGGCGGTGGCACGGCTACAGGCATCATGCCGGGGCTGCAAACGGCAGGCATCCCTGGAGAGAAAGACGGAGTCTGGTAAACATCAGAGCTCACACAGGTACATACCTAGGGGACGTCACACCTCAAGCAGGTACAGCACTAAAGGGACGTCATCTCACGCAGGTACAGCACTAAAGGGACGTCATCTCACGCAGGTACAGTGCTAAGGGGACGTCATCTCACACAGGTACAGCACTAAGGGGACATCATCTCATGCAGGTACAGTGCTAAGGGGACGTCATCTCATGTAGGTATAGCACTGAGGAAATGTCACCTCATGCAGGTACAACACTAAGGGGAAATCATCTCACGCAGGTACAACGCTAAGGGAACATCACACCTCACAGAAGTACAGCACTAAGGGGACGTCACACCTCACATAGATACAATGTTAAGGGGAAAGGGTACCAACACTTTCTCTTGGCCGCCTTGAGGGGTGAGACCATCTCAGTTGTCCCTGAACAAGGAGGCTGCAGGAACCTGCAAAGCGCCAACCCCCAGAACCAGTGCAGGGAAGTGGTGCAAGGGCTCCCTCCCTCCAGGTTACTCATCTTTAGTAACCTGTCTTTCCACACAAAAATCCAAGTGTCATTACTCAACTCTCATGTAGGGCAACACGGGATAAAATCAAGGTGACTACCACCTGCATGTTAAGAACGTGTGCATTTGCGCTGCAGGCATTAACTGGACAGCCAAGGCAACTGTCTCCCTCTAAGAACTTGCCCTGAACACCATGCACATTCACACAAACCCCTGGATGGTCACAGTCTCCTCCCCTAGCAGACAGCCTGGAATGTGCCTTTGCAGCCCAGCAGGTACATCACCGTAACTGGCAAGAAGACACACAAAATGCTTCAGCAGGCTGCACGCTCATGTCCACAACCAACATGGCACACACATTAAAAACCACCCACAAAAACGCTCATGAGAACGCCACAGGGGTGCTGACAGGAGTGGCCAGCCTCTGGAGGCTCCTTGTTACCCCTCATGTCAGGCGTGGAAGGACAGACCAGAACAGAAACACAGGGTAGGCAGGGGCATCAGGAGGTGTCCGGGCGTCTGCATTACTAGACTCAAGTTCTGGAACCTGACTGCCCAGCAGCCACCCTCTGAGGAATGGGTCTCCTCCTAGAACTCCTGCCTGTCCTGGGGCAAATCCCGGTGCCTCCTGGATAGACGGATGAGATGAGGAGCTCAGAATGTCCCCTGTGCCCGTGAGTGCCGCTCCTTCTACCACTGTGGCACCACAAGAAAACAGGCTTCAGACACAGCCTCCCACGACCCCTGGCCAAAGGGCAGCCCCTGCACCGCCTCCAGCCTGCAGGGGAGAGGGATGATGGAGAGGAGGTCCCGACAACTGTAGTGTAGTGTTGAGGGATGGCCTGAGCAGATGCTGGAAGCCCTGTGCATGCTCAGTGCCAGCAGAACAGCAACACTGTGGGAATTTGATGCTTCCAAACCAAGTGTGGACACATCCGCCAGGAGCCATGACATGAGTGTGCTGGCTCAGCTGGGGACACTTCAGGGAACAAGGACAAGGAGATCCGAGGCCTGGGTGGATCCCCAAATTCCCGGGACTCAGGCAGAGCAGGGCTGAGACAAGAGACAGCGGGCGGTCCTGTGCTCAGCCTCACCCACAGATGCGTGGTGGACAGAGGAGCCATTCCTCTTCCCATGGGGACTCGCAGATGGAAGGCTTAGTTGTCTGAGCAAAATCGGATGCTCTGCTCACAAACAAGGCTATCCACAGAACCAGAATGTGCAATTTTTCACATGGGAAGAGGCGACCCTAAAAAGCTGTGGCACCCAGAGCAGGCACAGCTGCCGTGTCAGCAGAAAGACAGCCGCTTTGGGGCACACCAGCTTAAGCTTCCCCCAGCAAAAGGAGGCCTGGGGTGGGGGTCACCATTCAGCTCCAAGATCACTGCCCAGCGCCAACAGCTTCTTACAGCTCTCATACAATGGAGTGTATGGAAAAGGAGAAGCTACTAACGCTCACGTTTTGAAACTTCCCAGGGGGTGGGTTAATAAACACACAACAGCAAAGAAAGAATTCTAAGTTATTGCTTGGGGAATTGATAAAAACCCAAATTTCATTTTAAATCAAACCACCTACATTATCTTTAAATAGTGTATACCATTTAGCTTCAAATGCTGTGTCTGCTGCAATCCCACGTGCGAGGGAAAATACCCGTGGGCACCTGTGATTTGCCTCCACGTCAGAGTGGGTCTGCCTCTGGCTGTTCAAGCAGAAGGTACTCCCCACAGATATTCCCTCCAGGCTCCTGCCTGTCCTGGAAGCTGCAGGTGTTTGCGAAAGTGGCAGCACGGCTGTGTGGGCAGCTCCACAGAAACTCAGGCCACAACCACAGCAGCTAGGAGGATGGAGGGATGCACAGAACTGATACCAGTGTGCACGGGAAGCTGTTGCCTGGCAAAGCACAGGCTGGGAATGTGGGGCCCGTGCCTTTTCCACTCAGCTCTCTTCACGTGAAAGCAAAGCAGGCAACATGCAAAGAATCCCCAAATTTAGACAAGGGCAAGTTTTCCCCCATGAGGGACAGCATAGGGCCAGGCACTGGCCCTTCTGCCTTGGAGTCTTTCACTCTCTCTTTTTTTTTTTTCCTCTTAACCGAGTCTTTCACTCTCTTGCCCAATGATGCTCAGGTGCCAGGTCAGCCTCAGACATGTTCTCCACGCCCAGGAGGGGCTGCTGAGAGGCTCCCCCAGGGCAGACTTGCTGCTACCCGTCCTCACAGGAGGTACGCACAAAGACAGACTGCGACACGCGCTCTCATGGTGGCAAACCGTGCTCGCCTCTGAGGCTCTACCCTGCCCTTGCAGTGGTCGCAGTTGGACATCCCTCCTCTGCCCAAGCACCCCTTTGCTCCCACAAAAGAGCAAAAGCATCATGAAATCACACATTTCCCAGATATTTCTTTAAAATTAAGGTTAGAAACCCTACTGAAACCTTATGATGCCTATCAACTATTTGAAATCTGTTAAAACCCTAACTATAATTTTTTTAAAATAAATCCTTCATTAAAAAAAAAAAATGTAACCTACACTCTATCTTTAGGCTGCAATTAACAGTATAAAAGCCTTGAATATTCAGCTGCATTTTCTGTCCCCATCTGCTTCGTCGTAGCTGTGCCCACACTTTGCATCTTCAATTCTATAAAAACGAAGGAGAAAACTAAGGGACGCCTAACTCTCCTCCAGGCACCGGCTCCCATCAGCCTAGGGGCTGGGGGGCCTGTTTTTTAACTCAGCAAAGAGGACACTTCCATGAGGTATGGCCAGACTGGGTCCCGGCCTTGGCTTGTGCTTGCACAGGTGGCCCAGGACACAGGCTCAGTATTCCCTCTAGCACCCTTAGCACTGTCTCTCTGCTGAAATGGAAACCACAGGGTATCCCAATGTCGCCCGAGTTGGCACACAGGGAAGATGGGAATGGCAGCTAAATGTCCCTTTACTTATAAAATATTCAATACAAAGTTTCACAAAACATTTAGGCACATTTAGTTGCCATTCTCATCTTCCCTGTGTGTTGACTAGAGGGCGGCGCTGGAACGCCCCATGTTGCCCCGCACCTGCCTCAACCCTGTGTGCCATTTCAGCTGCTCTAACATTTCTGGGTCATTTCGAGTTACATACTACTATCTGGTCTTTCCTCAACTGTGGGTGGCGAGTGCTGTCTGCTAGGCCCTTACTCTCAGCACCAGGTAATTGCAGTGCTTGCAGCAGCTCTCTCCCACCTGTTCTCACCCGGAACACAGCTGACAGTCCAGAGCTGCCCAGGCCCCAGAGCCCCTCTCCCCATCTGGGCTGCACTTCAGGCCACATCCCAGCACATCTGGTGTAAGGTTCTGACTCCAGAGCTGGCCTTTCCAAGTCCCCACTGCATGCTGGCACAACCAGGGAGTTGAGAAGGCCTCTTCACTCTGGCTGGGCCAGACTTTGGTCCCCACATTACTTGGCCACGAACAGCTCCGTCCAAAGCTAAGCAGCCAGGACCCCACGGCCCCACATGCCTCTGATACCCTGCCTGCGACTCAGCCACTTCCCTGGGCCTGGCCTCTGGCTTTCACCCCTGGGCACGGGGGACCTGCTGTGCCTGCCCAGCCCCGACTTCCTGGACCCAGGCAGAGACGGGGTGACTGCAGCCTCAACTCAATGTCTCTTCTCCCAAGGGCCTGCTGAGCAGCACGGCCACCGCCATGGCTGTTTGCAGCTGGGGCCCTGTTATTGCCACATAGAAAACCAGCCCAGGCCCACCAAACAATGATGGCTGCAACCAAAAAATGGCCAGGTGTTGTGGCGGGCACCTGTAGTCCCAGCTACTTGGGAGGCTGAGGCAGGAGACTCGCTTGAGCCCAGGAGTTGGAGGTTGCTATGAGAGTGATGCCATGGCAATGTAATGGTGTAGAAACTGCACCCTCTCAGCTCTGCTGTGCAGCATAGGCTGCCAGTCTGGAGCAGATGCTGCAGACGGCAGCAGCAGTGTCTGCTGCCTCATGGGCAGTGACTCACGTCCATTACAATGCTCAAATCACCATTTCTACATCTCTAAGAATTTCAACTCACCTTATTTGCACCAACAATTAGAGAAAACCCTAACTCTATTTTCTACATATGCACTAAAAATTCAAATGCAGCACTAGCCCCTCTGCCCCTCTCCCCTACTTTTGGAGGGACCTTCATGACATGGCACACACATTCACAGCTCTAAGCCTTACCAAGCGCCTACCCCAAGGCTCTACATCCCTGCCTCTCCTCTCCTCCTGCCCATGGCCCCTGGAGTCCCCACCAGAGACAGCCCAGGGAGGAAGGGCCCCACGCACCTGCGATGGGCACATAGCCGACGCCCTGCTGGTACACAGTCGGCATCAGCACCACCGGCTGAGGTGGCATCACCATGGCGGCTGGCAACAGCTGAAACATACAGAACACACCACATGCCAACCTTGTCATTTGGTCACACGGAAAAACACACCACATGCCAACCTCGTCACTCCATCACACTGTCACCATCTTGGCTGTGAACCTAGAAGTGCAGAGCCTCCTGTATAGACGCTGGCTGCTGGGCCAGCACCTGCCTGCCCCTGGGGGCTGAGAGGCTGAGTGGCTGAATGACTCAGAGACTCAGCCCTGGCTGAATAGGACCAGAACAGCATGCATCTGAGCAGTGTCTTATCAGCACTCACTTCAGGGCAGTTTTAGATTTTAGTTCAGAAATTGTTAACTACAGATAAATTATTAAGTACAAAAGTTGTTTTGTGCTGATCTAAAAATGCCTGCCAATGATGCATAATGACACATTTTCTGGAAATGTGTGTGTGACCACGCTCACATCCGCCACTGCATTCCAGCATCCCCATGATTGCAGTGCTGCACTGTGGCCAGGCGGCAAAGCGGGATCTGCCTAAGCAGGGTAGGAGGAGGCAGCCCACACACGGCCACTCCCTGCAGGATGGGCAGTCGACACATGGGCCACTCACCTCCTCTCTACTTCTACACATGCTCCAAATTGTCTATAGTAAAATGTTAAAAAACAGTAACTTTTTAAAATCTCCTGGGTGATGCATAGGAGCTGCCAGAAGCCTGGGTCCTAGATCCCTGACAGCTACAGGTGCCCCAGGGACAGAGATGGGCGGGAGCTCCCTGTGTGCTAGACCTTGCCCGGCATGGCCAGGCCTCCCCTTTACAGTCCCAACGATCCCCAGTGGGCCTCGATGTCCCTGAAGAGATGACTTGACACTTCACAGCCAGGAACAGCCCTGAGGGAGGGCACCCAAAACAGGGCCTGCCCACCACCTATGGCTCTCACCCAAGGGCAGGCCCATGTCAGGGACACAACAAGCACCTGGCTCAGCCCCTCTTGGCGCACATGACCCTCCTTGCACCGCAGCCCATCCACAAGGCAGGCCTGGCCTCACCGAGTAGGACATGACCAAGTTGATCATGCCTTCCTTGTCATCGCCCTGCCGCCCACTCAGGCAGTGCCACTTGTCCTCCACTGCGCCCTCCTGCTTCAGGGACTCAGGGATGGTGATGTGGGTCCAGGCAATGCGGTCGTCCATGGAGAAGGCTCGCTGTGGAGACAATGGGGAGGGCACATCCACTGCAATCTTCCCCAAAGCAGGAACCCTGCCCTCACCTGCAGGATAGGCCCCTCGCACACCAGCCACCCAATAACAAGACCCTTTGACACCTTCAGGCCTGGCCAAGCGAGGACTTCAGTGCCACGAGTGGCCACAGTCACCTCTGCACTTCCCACACACTCCTGACTCTTCCAGGGACCAGAAGGGGAGGAGGACGGGAAGAGGAAAAGGCAAAGGGCAGGGAGCCGGCCCACGTCCCTCCCAGGCCCTCATCCCCTCCCAGTTTCCACGTAGCACCGCAGGCATGAGATGCCAAAAGACAAGCTGGGCTCCAAGCCTGCTGTGTCCACCTGCACTCCCAACTCCCTCAGAGACCCCAAAACAGTTCAATACAGGACCACTGAAGTGGCTCAGGATGCTCATGCCACCAAGAATATTCCAACCCAGCAGTACAGCGTAACTTCCTTGAGACTCAGCCTCAGGTAGGCACCAGCCACCCAGAGGCACCCACAGGCACAGGTGGGGCAGGCAGAGGCCACTCTGTTCCTGGAGGGCTCCAGTTCGTCCCGAGAGACACTAGAAACCACCCTTTCAAACTCCGGGGGTTGCAGGACCGCATCACGCGCCCAGCAGAATGCCCGGTGTAGAGTCAGCTGCCCTAAGCACCAGCAAGGCTGTCCCTCTCACCTCATCAAAGATCTCGAGATAAAAGGAGTCCACGCCTGGGGGCACAGTACAGTGGATGACTTTGTTCCAGCGTGGGTTCTTGGCACCATTGTGGGCTGTGGGTGTCTCGTACACTGCGTAGCCCAGGCGTAAGCGGCAATAGGGGTCCATGCGGGTCATGCCATAGTTCTTTGCCAACTTTGCCTGAAATAAAGCCAAATTAGGAAAGGGAAGGGCCAACCACCAGCAGGGAAGCCAAGCACTTGCCTGGGCCGCTGGCCCCTGAGCCCTCATGCATCTCCTGAGGACAGACTCTGCTGCTCAGGCTTTGGGACACAGATACCAGGAACAAGGAGAGAGAGCCCCCACAGGGCCATGTGACTCCACAGTGAGGTGCTGGGAGCCATCCCCCCTGCATAGGACACGGACCCCTGTTCCATGGAGAGCTGGTGCCCCAGCACCCTCCCGGGAGTACAGAACAGGGTGGGGATATCCAGGAAGAGCAGAGTCACAGACCAGTGGGGCGAGTGAGCCCCTCAGAGAGAATGGGGACCATTCTACTCCAGGTGGGCCCCGTGGGCCGTGACCCATCTGCAGTGCCCATTTTCCCCTTGATGAGGGAGTGTCGTGGCTGTGACCCCATCCCTGTTCTGGTCACCGTGTGGGGTTGCAGGGACAAGACTTTCTCTGTGCCCCTTGCTCACAGGTGCCACATGGGGTGGTGGGGCTGAGCACGAGACCTGAGTTATGGATGGTCACCTGGGAGGAGATGCCTGGCTCCTTGGGATGAAAGTGAGTATGTTTCCGGTAAGAGACACGTGGATGTTATGAATAAGACAGTGACCTTGGCATGTGACATCACTATCTAGCAAACAGCAACTCAAAACAAATGACAGGTTTAAATATAAAACCTAAAACTATAAATTTTTACAAGAACACAAGAGAAAAGTCCATGTCACCTGCTGTACCCTCACTTGGCAGCAACTCCCTCCCCAGCCATTACTCCTGCCACATCCCGGCAGCTGTCTCAACTGCCTGGCCCACTGGGCCTCCCTTCCAGGTGCACCTAAGTCTAGGCACATCCACCCCTGCCCAAGGCCTAGCACAGCAACCTGAGTCTTTACAACTCAACTCAGAACAGGACATGTCACATCAGCTCGAACCACAGCATAGAGGTGGCCACAGTCCCTGTGAAAGCTAAGCACCTGCAGCTACACAGAGTGACCAGTAAGAGGCTCAAGGTATACTGACCCAGAGGAAGAGCTGTGGTCAGAGCAGGACAAAGGCCCCAGGGGGCTCCTGGGGAGGGGGAGGTCAGTGGTGGCCAGAGTGAGGCAGGCAGGCTGGGCCTCGGCTAGAGGAAGGCTCAGCAGGACAGCACCACAAAAAAGACCCCTGTGGGGAGCAACCTGGTCTGGCCACACCCCAGGGGCGGGGCAGGGCAGGCAGTGGGGGCTCCAGAGCAGGGACTCTCAGTCTAACCTCAGCTGTGTGGAGGGATGGGGCCCAGGCATTGAGAGGGAGAGCACCATCCAGCAGCCCCAGCATTAGGCCTCAGCTTCCAAAGAGTAGAGATACCACCTGGCCCTGGCAGTCTGGGATGGGGCTAAGCATCTGGCTTAGACCAGAGTCAGCACACGCAGTGTTTATACCATGGGCTGCAAAGGCCACTCACCCAGGACAGGTGGGCAGAGATGAGGAGGAGGGCAGAGGGTGAGACCCTAAAACAACCCACTGGGTCCAAGAGAAGGTGGAGAGCCAAGTGGGGCACCCTACATGTGGCCCCTCAGAAGCCAAGGAAAACAGCCCTATCCAGAGAGAAGAGAGCAGCAGGTGGAAGTGCTAAGTAGGGAGACAGGGACGTTTCTGCCACTGACGTGCCCAGAAAGACTGGGGTGAGCCGTGTGTGACCAGGGCTCAGAGGCTCATGTAAGAACCAGCAGCGGCTAAAAGGTGGGCATCTGGGAGTCCTGGCCAGCTCTGGCACTCTTGGCTGGTGGACCCATGGAACAGAAGTGCCCTGCAGTTACCAGGCCCTACCAGATTGCAGTCAGGCAGTGCCTGTACCTGGGCAGACGCCCACCAAGTCATTGATCATTGTCTTAATGATTTTTGTCAGAACCCGAGTAATCATATGTTCCACATATATTGTTTTTCAATATCAATAACCTATTTCAGAAAAAACTAGAATCATAAAAAGTTCCATTTGTCCATATAGGAAATGCAGTGAGGCTCAGCGCCTGTAGCTCAGCAGCTAGGGCCACATACACCGGGGCTGGCAGGTTCAAATCCAGACTGGGCCTGCTAAACAACAATGACAACAAAAAACAGCCAGGCGTTGTGGCGGGTGCCTGTAGTCCCAGCTACTTGGGAAGCTGAGGCAAGAGAACTGCTTAAGCCCAAGAGTTAGAGGTTGCTGTGAGCTATGACACCACAGCATTCTACCAAAAGTGACACAGTGAGACTATCTCAAAAAAAAAAAAAAAAAGAAAAAGAAAGGAAATGTGGTGTAAAAGCTGGAATCTCCACCCCATTCACCCAGCCACCCCAGTCTGGGGGTAGCCCAGCACCCACCTGTACCACGGTGACGTTGAGGCGGCCCACAGCACCAACTGCCCCTCCATACTGCAGCTGTTGGGCTGTCCGGGCATCTAGCTGAACCTGCTGCTGCTGCCTAGTGGGCGTGATGCGCAGAAAGTCCTGCGGGAGCTCGCCGATGTACACCTGTAGGGGGGAGGGGTGCATCAGCAGCCAGCAAGAAGAGTGAGACTGCCACCAGCAGGCCCAGTGGGCTATGTGTGGCCTCAGCCCCTCTATCTGTGCTCTGAGGGGCTGCTGAGGCCAGGGGCATCCACCTGGGCCTATGGCCCCTGACCCTCACCAAAGGGTGCCCAGTACAGGCCAGCGTCCTGTGATGGTTTGACGGAAGACAGCTTCTCATCCTCACACGAGGCCGTGAGGTGGCCGCTTGGTTCTTCTCAAAGGTCTCACATACCCCATGTCCTGTGCCTGAGGTCCCTTCCTCTTGTCACCATGATTGGCAGGGCTGGTAAACTGCAAGCCACTCAGTCAAACCGAAAAAGATGAAATCTGAACCTTGGATCCAAAATTACTCGGAAAACCCTTTGTGCTGATATACCTTAAATATTTCTACCTCACTCTGAATTCAGAAATACCCTAAAAGAAATCAGAACGTAAAAAGATTCAAAACAAAAACCTCAAAAGACCTCACCAAGCTGCAGGCCACATCTCCCCAACCCTGTCCCCCAGTGTGTGGCCCTGACAGAGCCAGGCTCCTCAGAGACCCAATGACCACAAACATGTGGGTGACATGTGGGGACAGTGCACTCACTGAAAGCCATGCCAGGGAGTCCTGGGGACCCAAGCTCTGCTAAGGCCCTGGAGGCCCTGTGCACAGATCAGGTTCATGCCTGCTGCAGCTATGGAGTTCCCATGACCTGTGCCAGGCAGGTTCCAGAATGCTCTGCAGTTTGCTGTGCTCTGCTTGCCGTTCTCCCATCTCAGCACACAAGCCAGTTGGAACCCAGAGCCATGGGAACAAGTAACAAGGACTGGCCACATCAAGCCCTGGTCTGCAGATGCCAAGGCCCGAGAGTCTCCGCAGGTCACCTGCGCCCAGGGGCCAGCTCAGCGCTCCACGCTTTCTTTTCAAAAGGCCAGTTTCCAATCCCACTGCTTCACCTCATCTCTCGGGTGGCTTCTGTCACATGGAGAAGCCATCCCAGGGAGGACAGCACCCACCCGTCCCGCACCCCAGAGGCCTCTATGCACCAGGAAAAGCTTGCTCAGTGGCCCACATGCACTCAGGCCAGTACAGAGGCCCTACTAGAGGAAGCAGATGCCTGTGCAACCCTGGCTGCCAGGAGCAGAGTCTCTCAGGCCAGGTTCCCCAGGGCAGGCCTCCCGAGATGCACCACACAGGTGCCAGCAAGGCCTGGGAAGGTACAAGACACCAAGCACCTGCTCCCTCAGCACCAGGGCCCGCCCCCAAGGGTACCAGCCCAGAATTTGAACCCTGGAGGGATACCAGGCCCCAGAGATATCTCATCCACCTCGCAGGGCCTGGTGCACCTGCACCCTGGCTCTCATACCCATCCTATCAGCTCTTCATGAAAGGACTCTCTTGCAGACACACACTGGTTAATCGCATTCTGGAATTGACACATCAGAGCCAAACACTAGCTTGTCATCTGAGAAACAGCCGAATGCCTGTGCCTGGCACATGAGGGCATGGCACAGAGCCTATGCCTAACATGCCCAGCAGATGAGTGGCAGGAGTCCTGCAGAGAGTGGCCTGTGCAGCAGACAGATGGCAGGAAAAGCCTCTTGGGAAATGCTACCAATCTGGTCCTTTATTTTTTTACCTCCAGTCTGTCCTCATCTTTACAGCAAGAGGCTCAGGGAACATCTCCTTGTTCCTGTACCCTTTGAGGCTTTCACTAAAGGCTCTGCAATCACTTTTTAACAGGAGAAAATAAAACTACATCAAAGATCAAATGATGCAGTGTTACTTTTCAACAAGGATTTAGCCCAAAATTACAAATATGCAATGATGGTTTAACCACATAATTAAACAAACAAGCGAATAGAACATAAGGAGGGGAGCAAAGTGGGCTCACTTTGAAAATTAGAGACGTCAACCCAGCCAGATGACCAAGGCCAACCCCACAGCGGTGACTCACATGGACACCAGCCCTGAGACAGGCCACGTAAAGACCTCGCTTGTGAGGTTTTCTTCCCCAACGCAGATACTCCAGCTGAGGGTGTGTGACAAGACCCAGGACCATTGCTCCTCACACAAGGCCCAAATAGCAAGGGAGCCTGAGAGGCAGCTGCAGGCGGGGTGGGGGGTGGGGGGGTGGGGTGTCTCAGAGGAGACCTGGCGCTGTGCCAGGCCTGGGAAAGTCATAGACAGCTGGGACAGACATCTGCTGACCCTGAAGCTCACAGCCAGGAACCCAGGTCAATCCTCAGCGTGAGAACGCATGGGGCTGCTCATGGGTACCTGGCTGAGGGACCCAGAGAGACTCCTTCGGCCATCATTTTAACTTTTCCATTAAATATGAAATTAAAAATGTGCTAGAATGGTGTTCCAGAAACCAGTTTCCTGCTACCACACCACTAGTAATTGGTGAGGCGTCAGCTTGCTCTGCTGACAGCAGTGTCTCCTGAAGGCAAAGTCCTTCCTCATCAGAAGGATTTCAGTCCTCGCTGAGCTCTCCATGCACGGCAGGAGCAGGCACTCGCCCTCTGCCCCAGCAAACAGCCTGGCGCTGGTTGCATAACCAGTAGCTTGTTTGGTATAGACTGAAACGCTATTTTTTTTCTCTTTTCTCTCAGTCTGTAGGTTAAACTAAACCTTTTTATAATAAAAACTCAGAGCTCTGCCAGGAGAGCAGAGCAGCAGCACTCACAGTGCCAGGCTGGGCAGGTGGCAGGATGCAGGCTCCCCGCCGTTCCGTAATGGTTCTCTCTAAGGAGTCCTTCAGACTTTCTTGCTGTCCCCACCCAGGAGCACTGTGCCACTGGAAATAGATTGTGCACACAGGATGGGCATGGTGCTTTAATGATTCTCACTTTTTATGTATGTTTAGAATGGCTAAATCAAATTAAGTCAAACTAAAAGCTAAAAGCTACTAATACCTGTGATTATTTGTTGAGCAACTTTGAGTGTACTTTATTTGCTTATATAAATTGTAATGTATCAAACCAAATACACAAATTAGCAACTTACATATAAACACAGTAATAGCAATGAAACTGAAATTTTAAAAACTCAGTGGTGGCTTTTCCAACACAAGTAAAACACCGGAGGAAATTTTGTTAAAAATATTTTCAGTGAACAACTTTAAACTTTTGCTCGATTTGAGAATACACCTTTTAATTAGCTGCTGGACACCATCTGTCAGCACAGCAATGTAACCAGTGACGGATTGAGCACACTGTGTGGGGCCAAATCACAAATGCCAACAGGCCTCATTCAGCGCTCCAGCCCAAGTACATATCTGCCCACCATCCCCCTCACAGCTGCCTGAGCTCCCACAGGTCAGTCTTCTGTGAGCTCACCGTGGACACACTCAGGGGACACCCAGAAACACAAGGGAGCAATGACGTAGTAAGAACAAAGTTTCCAACAGAGCTAAGCTGGGGTACAGCACTGTGTAATCCTTTTTCCTCCTCCCAGAACCCGACCAGTATCACCTCACAACATAGAGGACAACTGTCAATGGCTCCGGGACCCCCACAAAGCATCCACAGGGGCACCCAACATAAATGCTGTCACCCCAAAGCCTGTGACCTCACGTCACTCAAGGTCACTTCTGCAGCAGAAGACCTGGCCAGACTGGTGTCTCAAGGAACAGAGAAGCATGAGAAAAGCAGACCTGTGGATAAAGGTAAAAGGCACAGGCCTGTAAGCCTCTGGTGAGGGCCAGGTGTCCCTGGGAAGAAGAGGCCAGGACACAGGATGAGATCAAAAAGGTCCAGGTGAAGGCACAAACCCAGGTGCCTGGGTCAATGCAAACCTCACTGCTGTGTGAGGGGCCTGCTCCCACCACCATCTTGCAGGGGACATTCACCACTAGGCTCACAGCCAGGCTCAGAGCTCAGCATGACCCACGGTTGGACCCAGGAGAACTGGCTTGTCCAACAAATAACCACACGCTCATGTAGTTTACATCCAAAATCCTGGGGTTGTGGGCTGAGACAGAACAGGCAGGTCAGAACAGACGACCTGGTGGCCATGACAGCCCCTCTGGCTGGCTGGCTGCCCTCAGGGCACCAGATTCAGGAGCCAGAAGCCAAGAGTGAAGGCTGCCCAAGACTGAAGTGCTGGCCTGCACCTGCCACAGACCCTGCAGGCTCACACCCATTGCAGCACACTGATGGATCATGGGGCTGGCCACTTACATCGTCCTATAACTTCAGCATCTTCCAAAGTCAAGTTGGAAGGAAAACTCCAATTCTCCAGATGTCCAACCTGCACTCAGGTGGCTGAATGTGCCTGGCCCCTTCACTACACAGGTGACCCTGGCAACTCTGCCCAGGCTCCCACACATTCCCCTTGTTCCCCACACATCTCCAACACCTCCTGTCCCTCCTCTACCTCAGCTGATAACTTTGCTTCTTGAAATGAGAAAAGAGAAGCAAGCCCAGAAACCAGGGGTGATGATCAGCAGGTGGGTGATCTCAACTCCATAAGCTCCTTCTCCTCTCCTAGACAACCCCGGCTGGCCAAGCTCTACCTCTGCTGCACGGACCCCTACAGCCAGCCACTCAAGGCTCAGCAACTGCCATCTCCTTGTCCTGGTGGCCGGGCTCACTCTTCGACTTATGCAGAATTAGCACTTCCCTTTGTTCTCTCTCCACAGTACCATCAGGAGGCTAGACCAGTCCCTGACCTCACAGCCCTGCTGCCCCAGGCCCACCTCAGCTAATCCTCACGCTCCACAGGGCCTCCTGGCACACGGCCACCAATAACAAATGGGTCTCACAAGTCTGAACCCAGCAGGTCCAGGACCATTCCCATCACCATAGCCCAGAGTGCCCAGCACTCGCAGCCGCCGCCAGCATCAACGGATGCTCAGTGACTTACTGGCCTTTCTTGGGCATCAGGTCAGCTGCCCCCTCTTCAATCACCCAGCCCTTCCCTAGTGAGCAGTGCAGACGCAAGGTGCATGTCAGGGCCAAGCAGCTAGGAGAGC